TGATGTAGTGACATCGCGGGAAGTCACTGTGCAGTGCCGGCCCTAGAGAGGCACTGTGTGTGGTGTAACCACATCACGGATACCACAAAAGTGTGGGTCTAGTACTGGCCTTAGAGGGGCCCGGTGAGCGCTGATGGATAGCGCTAGATGGCACCATGCTTGGCGTGCAGTGCCAACCCTACAAGACAAGGTGTGGGAGTGCTGACCATAGGAATGAGGTTACTAGAGGGCATGGCACTCTGGTTGACCCGAGAGGACACGTGACCAGTTAAGTCTACAAAGGGGCCCAAGTGGTGGCTAGGTGTGGTCACGTGGTTAGCATCCAGATCCTTCCCGAGGATTTTGGAAGGTGGTCATGGCCAAGTGCAGAGCCAGCCACGCCGCAGAGAATATAATCTGGGTCCCCAGAGGGACCGGCGTTGTTGTTCATCCTTGAATAAACCTTTGTCTATGTTCTACGTTCTCCATTCTCCGTTCAATGAGTCTTCAATACGTGGACCTGGACCCGAGCTGTGGTCCCGTTCCGTAGTAGCTCGTTACGTTGTAATTAGTGTAGTTAGCCTGGTGGTCACCACCATAGGTTGTTATTCTGTTAAGGGGTAGTTATCCCGTGTGTTGGAGTTAAATAAATGTGTTGCCTCCAAGTCTATGTCTGCGACTCAGTTGAACTCACTCCAAGTCTATTACATCAATAATACGTGACTAAGTTTGATAGTATTATGTAATTTTTTTTAATTGCGGCGTTCTCAATTTACAATGTATTTATCTTGTTAGCCTCACGTATAATTCAGACGAGCTTAGTTATAATTTCTAAGTATTTTTCGTATGTATTTAAGTACAGTGCACGTGTAGTGGGCTCACTTGAAAGACACACTGATTCAGGAGGCAACACATTTATTCTATGACCACAATGGGGTAACGACACAAACGCGTCAGGTCAGTCGGCACACTGCCTGACCCAAGTTGCTGAGCATGAAGACCGAAGAGAAGACGTAGCAAGGCGGGTTCTATTGCAGCAAACAGCCCTGATGCAGCCCCGGGACCCCCCTTTCATACCCCTCAGCGTGGCCCCGCTCCGCCCTCGGACACGATTTCATCCAGAACTTACTAGAAGGTTCTGGATCGCCTTCCACGTGTCCCCTGCCTGGCTCTGCCCTCGGCCACGCCCCCTTCTGGAACTCACTAGAAGGTACTGGGTCCTACAACACGTGTCCCCTCTGTCACCTTTGGCCTACATGCCATCACGTGCCCCTGCGGCCAATCGGGCTGCTACATCCTCAACTGCCCCCTACTCTGCCAGCCCCAGAGACGTCTACCATGACATATACTCTGCTGGCAGAGGGCTACTATACCCACTATTCTTCTCTCTGTCGGTAGATGGCACTAGGTGCCGTAGTGACCCATTATATGTCACTACACATGTAATGGACACCCACCGTGAACCAGTTAACTACACGGAACATATATTCGGTTGGTTGGCATTATATATTATATTTTGTTCAGTCATCTTCGCGCAGAATATATACACGTGTGCAATATGAGTTTAATGTGTGAAATTATTCACGTCAATTATGTCGCCATAATTAGATAGGTGGAAGATTGAGGCATCATGCCACGATTGAGCCATTTAATGTCTGTACGCTCTTCGTTAATAAAATATAAGTGTATGCTTTCAGTTTAAATTCTTCATCATCATCATCGGACATGTTTAATCCACTGCTCGATGGATACTGATTTAATTACCAGCTAATGCTCACACACTTGTGTGGTGACGTGGAATGAGTCACTGGAGCGCGTGCCGCTGGGAGATTGGTAGACAATGGCATTAGGACTATCAGCCCGTTCTACCAGTTGCAGCTGTGGGCAAAGCATGAAGCCATCTGAAGGATCCAGAGGGGTGCAGGGCCGAGGGTGGAGCCTGGCCACGCTTTTCAGGATATAAGGCGAGCTCCAACTCACAGTCGGGGCAGCTGCGATCTGGAATGGAATTCGTCGTGCTGTCGTAATTGTGATCGTCACCCTCTTCAAGCTGTGGGTTTGGCAGCATGTTGGCTGTCCCGACCCGGTGTGTGGTTATCCCCTAAGGCTCTGAAGGTCGGAATGAAAGAGATAGAGTACTTCCTATTAGTGTCTGTGAACTAGAACACAACATTTGGTGTCAGGCGTGTTAACGAATTTTTTATTTATATTTTAGGGTTGTTATGAATTTTTTTTCTTCGAATCCTTGAGGGGGAAATAGACTATGCTGAAACACGTGAAGAGGAAGGCTCTCACCCGCATACCCTCGGGCAAGGAGGATTCCCGGGCAGGGCTGGCAACCGGGACCCCTTGTGGGGGGCCCCGGAGTGGTGATCCCGGCGGGGCAGCGAGCAAAGGGCGACGGCTCTGCGCCGCCGCCGGCTGAAGGGGGGCTGCGGGCAATCGGCAAGCGCATCGTGGGGCGGCTTTCCACAGTGTCGACCCTGGTGGGGCAGCTGGGCAGGGAACAGCCGAAGGAAGGGGCTGTGGCTCGGGGGTGGCGAGCGGGCGACTCCACCATCACTGCCGACCGAGGGCAGGAATTGGGTCCCTTTAACCTGCCGCCGACAGCTCATCCGGGGGCACCTTCCCTAGCGCAGCGGCTGCCGCTTCTCAATTAATTTTCGGCTGCGGGGGGTGCTTGGGCGGCCTTCCAGCGGCGGTTCTCCACCACTTGCGAGCTCGCAGGGTGGTCCGATGCGGAGGCGCTACTTATTCTTCCCACCGCACTGGATGACAGCCTTGGCGGCGTTTTTTTACATTCCGGAGGTGGACAGAACGAAGCTGCGTCAAGCGTACTCCCAGTTGGCGGCAATTTTTGAACTGCCGTCCAACGCGGCAGACATTCGTAATACAGAGTTGGGGGGAGACAGAGACACCCCGCGCTTTCTGCAGCGCACTGCTGTCGCTGGCCAAGGATGCGTACCCAAAGATGGAGCGGGCAGGACTGGATTCTCTGGTGCTTGAGAAAATGTTGACGCTGGCTCAGGAAATTAACGTTTGTTTGCCGGCCACAGAGGAGGATGACCTGTCCTCGATTCAGGTAGCCCATTGCATCCAGGCCCACTATAACCTGCGACGACGTGCTGGGGTGACGGCAGGGGCTGGTTTTCCGGGAGAAAAGGGCAACCAGGCTCTCTGAGAGTCTCCCTGGGTGTGCGCGTCAGGTGGTTGGAGCCTGCGGAGGACATTCGGAGTGGGACGACGATGGGACAAGCGGCGGGGGGGGGGGGGCCCATTACCTCTTTCAGTTGTGGCCTACCGGGACACATCTCCAGGGGCTGCCGTGCTGATTTGGGGCCGCCTCCGCTCCTCTGGGTCCAAAGGCAGGTTGCAATAGGTCACACACCCGGCCGACACAGCCACCTCATGCATCCCATTGCAGTCAGTGTCAGGTGCACACGCCGTCGCCCCTCATAGGAATACGGGGTATGAAGGTGGTGCATGATGGTTGGCAATGGACCGCACTGGCACACTGTGTCATGGCAGCGGGATCATCCACAGTATGTGGATTTGTGCAGGCTGTTGAGGTGCGAATGCTCATAGATACGGGGGCATCCGCCACCATGGGTTCAGAGTTTATTTTTAGGACTCTGCCATAGATGTGGGTTGCCTGGGTCTGGTAGATAATTTGTTGCCGCTAATGGTGGGAGTTTAGGCATTGTGGGCTAAATCAAGGCATCTATACGGACTGGCGATATTGAAAGGACGGGCCTGGTGTTGGTTTCAAGTTCGTTAGCGGTGCCTTGTTTATTGTGGAAGGATTTTTGGAAGAGGATGCCCCTCTGGATTTTAATTGACCAGGGTTGTGTGGAGTTACCGTCGGGGCATCGGTTGAGATTTTTGGAGTCCCCCTACTGGATGGTGTATCGCTAACACTGTGGTTCAGGCCATGGTGTGTGAAACTGTTAGGGTTCCCCTGGGTGCACAGATGCTCATACCCTTGAGCTGCGGTCACGGCTCGACCAGAAAATCGCTGGGAGTGAGGTTCTTCTAACCCCTTCAAATAGAGCAGTTCGTGGGCAAATTTTTATAGGGCATCAGACCTAGTGTGGGGAGCGGTGGCGCAGCGGTTAACACACTAATGAACATGGCGACCAGGGTTCGATTGTCCAACACCAGTGACAATTATCTGAGCCGGTCCTGGGCCTCCCCTAGATTAACTCAACCTCGAATGAGTATCAATTACAATGTGTAAACAATGCCACTGGGGAGATAAAGGCGGCCAAGCATGGTGCTGGCCACACACCCCATTGTGTATCGTACCAGCCTTCATAGGTGCTGGCTACAGTAGGCTGTTGGCAATATATTGTATTTTAATTAACTATTTGGCACGTTGTTTACGTGACATACCTTACTGGCTGTCGGGTGGTGGAGGGTTGCGACGCATCTATACTTATGGGATCTAATCCTAAAACCTGTATTAACATTTTAAGCTGTGTTCAACCACCACACTACAGGTCTCAACAACACTCACTCACTGGTTCGCTCAATCACGATTATATTATTGCGTATGGAGGCAATAAAAGGTGTCAATTGAATACAGTGTACCAAAAAAAGTTTAACAGTTGTATTGCTATATTCTTGGTTCTTTCGGTAAAGTCACGTGGTTTTCACACCTGATGATTGTTGTGTTGCAGTCGAAACGTCGTGAATTTTATTGTTTTGTTAACGCCGACAATGGTATCTGCAGCGAAACGTCGAATATGAGATTGGAAATTTTGCTCTCTTAACATTTCGGCTATTGCTGAAGTGCCAAATCAATTGGCATGTTTTCCCAAGTGACGACTTGAAGTGATTGGCTCTGTCGGTTGGTGGAGGTTTATACTGAACATTGGCCTCTTACCTACCAAGAGTATAATGACATTTATTTTCGGCACTTCTTGACTCGAGTGCTCACTCGCCACGTCATGGAGGCCGTGATGGCGTGGAGAAGGCCGTGGTAGCGGAAAGGATGCTGTGATAAACTCGCTCATCTTACACCAACTCACTCGCACATCAATGACTCGCGCAACCACAGACCCATTCACTCATCATACACTCGCTCACACTACCACTGACTCGCACACATCATACACTGGGAGTGTCATGCTGCCAGCTATGGCTGCAACTTTGGTCGTACATGTTATAGTATCGTAATACTATTGCATGTTCACCAGCTCACTCCTTGTTTAAAAAAAAATGTTGCTGTGAAGGTCTGGCTCTCAGATTAACTCTCCCAAATAACATATATTGGTAGTGTCCTGATATAGACCGCCTAGTGGGAAGGATGTTGAAGCTGCATCTGCAGAGCTTTTTGGAGGCCTCCCTAAAGGTGAAATAGTTTTAGTGGGTGATCTAAATTGGAATTTGCTAAACCCGCTGGCCGTGGCCACAAATTTTGCAGTTGAATTTAACCTGTTTAAATTAATAAATGTCCCCACAAGACCCAACCTAAAAAATCTGGTACAGTCATCTCTGCTTGACGTCCTATTGACAAATGCCCCTCACAATTTCACACTGACTGGTGTTCTGGGTAAAAACCTTGGTGATCGCTCCATTTTTGGGGTGAGATCATCAGCCAGACCCGAAGCACTCGGACACTTCAGCACTCGGGCATTTACTAATGATGTGCTTCACTCGGATATTGACAAGGTCTGTGATATCCCCAACCTAACTACGGCTTGGGAGACCTTCAGGTACACGTTTCTCCAAATTCTTAACAAACATGCTTCGTTGGTTAGATTTAAAACTAAAGGCAACCACCCACCATGGTTTGATCCTTTGATTACAAAGCTCATGAAAACTAGGGACAAGGCTTGGACATGTGCTCAGAAAAGTACTTTGGTCAATGACTGGCTAGAATACAGGATTTTAAGGAATAGATGCGTCAAAAAAATGCCTATTTTTCCTCCTGGAATCACATGGAAATGCCAGGATTTTCTGGAAAACAATCAAATGTATCGAAAAGGCATCCAATACAGATAATCTGCCCGTTGAGCTTAACGGAAATGGGGAATATTTTTCAGATCCCAAAAAAATAGTTGACAATTTTTTAACCTTCATTTTTCTGAAGCTGGTAATCTTTTTGATAATGTATTGGGAGTCACCCCTGCTCATGCAAATTCATACACCCCTGTCCAAATATTAAACGACTTTAGTTTCCAGCAAATCCACGAAAGTATTGTTCTGAAACAACTGTCCTACCTCAAAGGGTCTTCCTCTACCGGAGCAGATAGTATTCCCATCTTTGCTCTACTAACTGTTGGTCACCTAATATACAAACCTATAGCCCATATTTTCAACCTGTCCATCATATAAGCATCAGTTGCTCTAGAATGGAAACATTCCTATGTCCGTCCACTTCACAAAGAGGGCCCTAAAGGTGATCCAAATAACTACCGACCTATCTCAATTTTGTCCCCGTTCATGAAAATTTTTGAAAAATTATTGAACTACCAAATTATCAGTTTCCTGTCCACCAACAATCTACTACATCTAAAACAATCTGGGTTCTGAAAAAAATACAGCACCACATCTGCTCCATTAGACTCTCTGAATCACATTTACAGTAGCCTTGATACTAAGCAGTAATGTGCCTGTCTTTTTCTTGACCTGTCCAAAGCTTTTGATACAGTAGACCACAACACCCTGCTAAGTAAACTAAGTTGCCTCTGTTTTTCCGAAAACGCAGTAAAATGGGTACAAATTACCTCTTCTCTTACCCAAACTGTATTCACAGATGGTTGGAGGTCAATCGGCGTTAAGATAACAAAAGGGGTTCCACAGGGTTCCATCCTTGGCCCCCTTTTGTTCTCTCTTTATGTCAATGACTTGGGCACTGACCTGGATCATTCCAGGGTAAATCTTTTTGCAAATTACACGATACTAATTACTGCTGGCCGCTCTCCGGATGACTTGATTGCTAAGCTACAGGGTGATTTCAACAAACTACAACATCAGCTAGTTGCTCTTAAACTAGTCCTGAATACTTCCAAAACCAAGGTGCTATGCTTCTCACCTTGACTAAAGCTGGAAGTTATTTTCCCCAATTACAGTCCTTAAATAATTATCAAATAGAGCAAGTCAAGATCTATAAGTATCTTGGTCATCCTGGATTCAAAACTGAATTTTGAAGATCGCATTGATTATATTGGTAAAAAGACGAAAATATAAATTGGTTTTCTGTATCGACACAAGCCCTGCTTCTCCCCCAATGTTCCGTTTTGCATTGATAAAAGCTACCATACTGCATCTACTTGATTACTGTGACATCGTGTAAAAATCAGCCCCAAGTACTGAAGCTTGATTCCATCTATCACTCGGCCTTAAGATTTACATTGCACTGCCCATATAGGACTCACCACTGATCTCTCTACATTGGGTCAAACTTAACATCTCTTAATGTTCGACGGCTTGTGCAACAGATCTTATTTATTCACGATGTACTTACAAAAAAATTCCGCAGACTACCTACTGGATCTCGTCTCTGTTTCAAAGAACAAATTTGACCTCAGGTCTTCGCTCATTTACCAGCTTCACATTCCCTATTGCCGTACAAAAACTGGAGGAAGGGCCTTTGCTATTGATGCCCCCAGGTTCTGGAATGCTATTGCCAATAAACTGCAACTTGAATCGCTACCAATGAGATCTTCTCTCAACACTGCTCTAGAGGAGTTGTACACCCCTAGCTGCTACTGCTATTCATTAGCGTAAAATAAAATGTTTCGCTCCAGATGACTACTGCAAAGTATTATCTGTATTTTGATTTAGCGTGCTGATCTTAAAGGTGCATTGAAAAAATAGATACTCCGACTGATGCTTCTGTTGTGGAGTAACTCATTCAGCCAGCTGTGGCTCTAGGGTTTGGTGTTTCAAGTTATTCATGTAGTTTATTGTTAAAAATTCGGTCAGTCCCTATGATCACTGTTACATTGCAATTATGGCTTCATTTTTGGTTATTTCGAAAACGTTTTTTGGTTTGGACATGTTTGTAGTACGGAGTTAGAATGGTGGCCTTAATCTAAGTTTCTTGTTGTTTGACTTGCATCCCACTGGGATTTTTGCACACAGCGTTGGTGTACGGTGCTTTTTCAAGAATATTTTGCTGTTTTTTCCTGGATTTTCTGTTTGCACAGTCACTTTAAGATGTTTTCTTGTTCGTTTTTTCTTGTTTTTTGTTTGTTGCGGTTGCTCCCGATTTCAAGAGCCAAATGGCTCACAGGGCTATACCAAATAAATAAATAAACTGAAATGTATATCGTTAATACTGGTAGGAACCTCCTGGTGACACCAGCCCACAGGGGATCATTGTGACCGTCCGTCGTGCATACAAAAATGGGAGGGGCTGGGTGGGGAGGGGCTGGTCACCCCGTGGTGCCCTTATAAAACTCAACGTTTAACCTACTCACGCCGACTTGTGCCTGCCCTCATAGTCGGGCATATTTGCGGAATACACCACGCCGCCGTTGACCCTGGTCATTGACCGAGCAACCCAACGTTCCTACCAGCTCCCGCCGCTGCAATGTGTTTTGTTAAATTTGAATCACAGTTCCTATGATTACTGTTCTTACATTGTTCTTATAGCTTTATTTTGATTTCGAAAACATGGTTTAAGCCATGTTTCTTGTGGAAGTGCGGAGTTGGCCTGATAACTTAAATCTAAATTGTCTTATGGTTGTTATTCTTTGACTTGCATTACACTGAGATTTTTGCACACAGCGTTGTAATACCGTTTTCTTTTCTGGAAGATTTGCTGTTTTATCCAGGATGTTTCTGTTGCGTGTCGTCGCTTTTAAGATGTTCTCTGTTCATATTGTTTGTGCTTGCACCCGACTCAAGAGCCGCATGGCTCACAGGGATATACCAATAATAAATGAAACTTGAAACGAGCCCTGTGCTCATACGACTGGAATCATGACCCCGTTGTTCCCCACTGTCACGCCCGCACGTCCGCGTGTCTGCCCTGGGCCACATTCGCGCCTCTGACTCGACCATCATTGCTAGCGTCACGCTCACCAACAGGGACACTCACTGATGTTCCTCCATTTACGAAAGCGATGCTTTCTTTATAAAACGCGCGAAAAACTAAATATCAAATGA